ATACATATCCTATTGTACCTATACCAAGCGAGTTTCTCTACCTGAACCCCACCTACGCCCCCAGGTCACGCTCCTGTTGTGACGTCGCAGGACGAAACGTATATAGCGGAGCTGCAATTATTTAAAATTCATATGTATCGTGCACTTCATGCCAAGTTTTTGAAATTTGGTATAGGTATGGTCTTAAGGTTTAAGGAAAACATCGCAAGCAACTTGTGTGCGACCTGTGGTGACCTGTTTGCTATAAAACCAATATGGCCGCCATCTTTATATTGGTATTTTTAATGGATGGGCTTCTATTAGTCATGATATATGATTGAGTAATACAAGATTATAACAGCATTCTAGTATATAATTATAAGAATAATATGATAATGACGAACAAACATCGTGGGCCATGTACAGACGTCTATTCGAGACTGTTGCAATAGCTAATAGTTGGAGCTCTGATGACATTGTTACAGGGGTGATTGTAGCGTTACGTGGTCCTGCGTTAGATTTACTAGAGGCCAAAAGAGGCTCTTCCGCCAACTTCCCAACAAAACTATGGTGCGCTTGTCGATGCGTTAGAGCGTCGTTATGGAGATCAACACCGGAGGCAGCTTCACCGGGTACAACTAAGAACAAGAAGGCAGCAAAAAGTTGCAGAAAGCCTACAAGAGTTTGAAACCGACATCCGCCCTCTGGTTAATTTGGTCTCTTTGGAAGCAGCAGCGCAAATGTGAGAGCAACTAGTGACCGAAAACTTTCAAAATGGAGTGCGAGATATGGATGTATAGAGGAGGCTACTGATAAACAAACCATCAAGTAGCAGTGAAGCCTTGATCAAAGCCCTAGAAATTGAAGCGGCATATAAGATATCTAAGCCAAAGATTAGAGCTGTGTCAATACAAAAGAAAAAAGAACCAATGAGTTGAATTAAAGATATAATGAAGGAAATTCTTGAACAAATGTAAAAGGTTGGTTTCAGAAGCAATCAAGGGAACTGGAAAGGGGACATTGAATGTTACCGCTTTGGTAGGAACGGACATTTAAAACGTGACTGGAGTACAGCTAGGATCTCGCTCTCCTTCTGTTGACTCTCAGCCTTTAACGGAAAACTACAATTAGCCAACACGAAGAGGCGGGTATTAGCTAGTGCAAGTGAAGCCCCTAGAATCATAACCATCAAAATGCTAGGAAAGATTGCGGACAGTTTGACCATTGAAGGAAATATTTTTGGGAGAAATATCATTATAACAGTGCTCACAGGGGCAGCCGTATACCTACTAAACTCGAACATTGCTAAAAAGTTCAATGCAAAGCCACTTTCAACCAGGTAATTCCGCGCACAGTGACTGGAGGGACCGCAAATGAGCATGGAGAAATAGAAATTGACCTGAAATCAGGAAATATCAAGATCTGTTACAAAGGGCTGATTGCTGATATAGCGGATGAGTTTATTTTGGGTATGGACTTGATCAGTCGACATGGTTTTGCATTCGAAAACCAGCTCAACATCCTGAAATTTGGCACATCAACGTAAGACCTACACAAACTGTGAAAATAAACGGCTATTATTACTCAAGATTTTGTGTCTTATAGAAGAGAATCTCCTCAAAATACCAATACAGATTGCAGCCATTTTCCATTTATAGCTAACAGGCCACCAGAGGCCGCGCACAAGTTGCTTGCGATAGTTTCCTAAAACCTCAAGACCATACCTAAGACTATACCAAATTTGAAAGGCTTGGCATAAAGTCCACGGTTCTTATGAATTCTCCCCATGCTAATAGGGGTTGTGACAATATAACCGCCTTGACGTACTTCTCGCCCAATATTGAAATTTTGAGTTTCTTCATGCAATCGAACGAATGCTTTTGCTTTATTATATTATATTTTCGATAGTTATGGTATATCTGTGATCCACTCTCGAGTAGATTACTGAAACTCGTTTCAGTAAGCGCTTTCAGCATTTTGGGTGGGTCTTTTGTGTCAAGCGCCTTTTCGTAGTCGACAAATACGACAATAAGAGGTTTATTGTATTTCGACTGACTTTTCAATAAGTGCTTCCATAACTAGCAGGTGATCGTTAGAGCCATAGCTTGCCTAAAAACCTGCATGTTCTTTTGGTCGATAGGGATCGAGCTTATTCGTTATTCTTCTCGTAATGATCCTTGTAAACAACTTATAAATGTGTGAAAGACGGCTTATCGGGTAATAGTTCTTCAGATCTGTAATGACTCTCTTTTTATGAAGAATTATTATGACTGGTCATTGGATTATCCCATTTATTAGGCGAACATTGAATTGTTTATAGATGGTCTGTTGCAACATATTTCCGCAGTTTTTTATTGACTTGTTATGCCGTCGTAGCCTGAAGTTCGGTTGTTATGCATCTCCCTAAGAGCTCCCTTTGACTCGTCCAAAGTGATTCCAGGTATGTTCTATGATCCTTGGTTCTGAATTTTGGGGATATTATTATTTTAGGTTTGAGGGCATCTGTTGCGAAATAGTTCGGAGTAGAAAGCTTCAACAGTTCGGCGCTCAATCAGAAGTCAGTTGACCATTCTGGTTCTTTAGCTTATTGATATTTTCCCTACCTTGAGTGTCCCTTTTCTTGAAACCAATAGAAGCATTTCTCCCTGAACAGCTCCCATATTTTTCTCCCCCATTATTTTCTAGGTTTCGAAAATACATATTCTTAAAAGAAAAGACTGAAGGGAGTATCTGGGAGGGAGTGAAAATATGTCCATGGGAGTATCTGGGAGGGCGTGAAAATATGTCCATAGTTGCCAGATGTCGAGTCCCAATTCTGTCCAATCACAGCTTGTAAATTTCTGATAAACATATTATAGGTAATTATACCATAACTCTCACAAGTATTATTTTCACATTTTTATATTTTTTGTGTTTGTTTATAACATTTTTTATAACATGTGCATTGTTCATGTACTTATTTAACAAAAATCGTTTCATGCTATAAACAACACAGAAAAAAAGTAAATTAAAACCTAGAAAAATTATGTGCTGTCTTTTGTGCTGGAAATTTGATTTTTGGATTCAGAGCGTACATTAGGACCTTGTTGAATTTACTAACATTTTCCTACCCTGACCAGCGAATATCCTACCAAAGAAAGGAAAGAGATATTGGCTCAAAATAACAACTATAGCTGAGTAGCATCCCGTATGGGACCTCAGTACCCTCCGGTAGACCGGCTAACAAAAACTCTTCAGTATTGATTATAGGTTGTGTTGATTGAATGTTGTGTAAGTAATTAAAATTTAGGCACAAAGACACAAGACGTTACCTAATTTAAACTATCATTGACTAAAATTATTGAATTATTGACTCACAATTATTTATTAAAATGACTATGTTTTGATTTTTGAGGAATGTTAGATCGAGGGTTTCTCTGCCGCGCTCTTTTCCCTCGTTAGTTCCAGGATGAGAACGGTACGATTTACTTCAATAATAAAGTAGACGTTTCACAAATTTTTCGTTTCTTTTACACATCACACAACTTCCCTTAAATTTCCCAAATATTTGCTATGTCGGGCGCATGTTCAGTAAGTAAAATTGAGTAAGTTTCCACAACGTAGGCCCTATTTGTTTTTCATTTCGTTTTTCAGAAAATTCTCACCGTTCAATCTTACTGAACGAACCCGGGTATATTTTACTACAACGTCTTCCAAACTTTCAATATATCTGCTTTCATTTAACTGAATTCTTCCATGTGATTGTACTTTATGTTGTGTTTTTTTTTTGGTGGATCTTATTTTTATGTCCACCAAATTTTAATTTTTAATAAAAAATTAGCAAAAGAAAATTAGCAAAAACCGGAAAGAAATGCTGCTGGACTTTTCGTCCACAAGAACATTTATGTATTCCGGAAAATTCACCCGTACATTTACACCCTCGTGCACTACGGCAGGCTGTCGTTTCTAATATCGGGAAATTTTTCGATCCATGCATTCCGTGGTAGCTCCCAATAAAAAATTGGATAATTTCTTTTTTATTTGAGATTATGAAATTTATTTCATTTTTTGTGATGACATCCGGGCTTGCCCAAGTCCATTTCCGATGGGGGATTTTTCTAAAGAAAGTGTTCATTGCAAACAATTTGTGATGCAGCAGGTACTCAAGCAGAACCTGCTCCTCTAATTTCTTATTCAATACCCATGGGTTCCTACTGAGAATTCGGAATCTTCTCCTGTGTGTCCGAGCTTGGCATTGAAATCTCTCATGAGAATGACAGTGCGTTTGACTCAGCAAGAATAAAAACAATGTGAAAATTAGAAATACATAATTATAGCTAGAAGGTTGGGGATTCCTAGAGATTGAATGTACAGATTTTAGGGCAATACCGTACGTGAAGAGATGCAACCTTCAGTCATAAAAAATAGGACCCTTCGTAAAAAGGTGAATCAAATCTCAAAATCCCTAAGGAAAACAAAACTTATATATTCAGAAACAAATCAAATTAACTAAAATTACCCAAAGGAAAATTTGATTTTGAGTCTGGGAAACTGAGAAAAATATGAAAAGAGGTAATTTTATCAAAAAATCCCACAGAACACGGTGGTAAAGTTAGTTAAGTAGGTACCTGAAGGTTAAAAAAGAGAAGAGTATATCACGCATTATGGAGAATTTAATGATAGTCAATTAAACAATTTAATTTTAAAAATAAAAATACATTTTTTAAAAATAGCACCAGAATTAAGTAGAAAAAGTGTTTCACACTTCAATCAGGTAATTCCCAATAATTGAATTAAATAAGTGAAAAATTGCTAATAAATAGGTAGGTATAGTGTAGGTCATAGCTTTAATATATTAATTGAAATTATTATTTTATGTGGACTTCAAATTGTTTTAATTATCACTTTTAACATAATAATATCATTGAAAAAAAAGTACCGAAATGAGTAAATCATGATTTCAAACCCCATTAAAATTCATGAAATCAGATAAAAATGGTCAAGGTACAATATCAATAGGTGTGCGATGTACTTGTGTGGTGGGGACCGGGAATTTTGCGGTAAATTGCCGAATTGAGATTTTTATATATAAGGGAATAATGCGTTACGGTGGTACTCACGACCAGCATTCATACAAGTTTATTTTGTGCCTATTCGATAAGCCTAAAAATGAACGCTATTGTGATTTCTTTTGTTGTTGTTGCCTCATTGGCTTTCGTTAATGTAAGTTATATTATTTATTGATGATATTTTCTGAATTTTGGGTGGTTTTTAAAATTATTTATTTTTTAATAATGAAGTTGCCACATTCTATTTTGTTGTTGAATTTGTGTGAACAACTAACTACCTACCTATTAGCAATAGTACTTACTAGTAGGTACTATAAACTTCTAGATGTAATTTATTGTTACTGATAGTAGGTAATTATTTACCAAAAAAAAATATATTGCCTTGTATTGAGTGGGTATAAATTAAGTCTATAAACATTGTTTTGAATCTATATTAGCAAGTATTTTTTCTTGCCAAAGCTTATAAAAGGAAATACAATATAACAGATGTCCAGATATAACTTTAGCCCTGGATTTTTTTCTACTTCTAGGCTGATTGAAATAAATTATGGTGTAGTGTGAACATTTCAATAATGACATCTTCTGAAATATGTACTTATCCATTGAAGTTTGACAAATTCCGGTATCACCAGAAGTATTAGCAACTTTGAAATTTTGAATGTCTACTTCAGTAGGTACCTATTTTTGAATTTTTGGGATATTTGAAATACGAAAATGTCAAATTTGCCTTGACAACCCATTGATCTACCGATGGTGTTGGAGTTTGCTTTTTTTACAAATTACCTATCTGACATTTTTTTCTAAAGAACATCCACACTTCTTATGGATTTCGGTCACCGACAGATTTTCTTGAAATTTCAGTAACTATATTATTTTAAAAGTCGAAATAAGCATTTTCTTTCATTGCACCGACCTCGTACCGGTACAAGGTGATACTAAAAAATTAGGTCGAAGATTTTTTTCTATTATCTACTGTAAAATATTGTAGGTAAAGCCTGTATTTTTTTTTTAAAGATAATTCCCCAAGTCACAAATTTAGTAACTATGTTGGCAACACAAGCCCTTTCTACATAAAAAATTTGAAAGCATTGATAATTTTACATTGTATTGCCAATATAATGTCATTTTGACTTTTATCTTTAAAAAAAAAAACACACTTTAATTAAACTTTGGTTGATGAAATCAGGCATTTTTTTAGAAATATTATTTTAATCTCTAGCGTGTACAAGGTGGTCCAATTTGGACACTTAATAGGAAAAGCTTCACAATCTTTTTATTTATGAAAATAATTGATTTCCGTAAAGCACTTTTTCAAGCAGAATCTGATAATATTCTCAGTTTTTCGAGATTAACCTATTGAACTTTATACAGGGTGTCCCACGGTGGATGGCGTATTAGATGTTAATAGAGAACTAAAAAGCGGATCATTTTGAAAATTTGGCAATCGTGATAAACGACCATAATCTACACTTTGAAAATATTTTTCTTTATGCGGTGCTGCCGCTTCTACTCTAAACTAGTGGCAACATCGCTATTTTAAATGGAACACCCTGTATGTGATTTCATATTTTGATTCTACGTTAAATTCTGAGCAGATTTTATGTGATATACCCTATACCTAAGTTCAACTGTTTCGGAAATATTGACAGTTGAAAATTGACTTTTTGCAACTTTGACAAGCTGTAAAACCTAAACGGTTAATTTTAGAGGAATACCGATTTTACATTCCTATCTTATATTTTCATAAACTATCATTTGACACCAACTTTGAACTTAACCGGAGATCAAATTTAACTGGAATTTTTAATCATGGATTTAATTCAAAGTTGGTGTCGAATGATAGTTTATAAAAATCTAAGATGGGAATGTGAAATTGGTTTTCCTCTAAAATTAACCGTTCAGGTTTTACAGCCTGTCAAAGTTGCAAAAAGTCAATTTTCAACTGTCAGTATTTCCAAAACAGTTGAACTTAGGTATAGGGTATATCACATGAAATCTGCTCAGAATTTTACGTAGAATCCAAATATGTAATCACATACAGAGTGTTCCATTTAAAATAGCGATGTTGCCACTAGTTTAGAGTAGAAGCGGCAACACCGCATGGTCGAAAATATTTTTAAAGTGTTGATCATGGTCGTTTATCCCGGTTGCCAAATTTTCAAAATGATCCGCTTTTTAGTTCTCCATAAACGTCTAATACGCCATCCACCGTGGGACACACGTATCATTCTTCCCCCTTCTTCTTCAAGTGCCTTGTCCTCTAGGAACGTTGGCCAATCATCAGCGCTATCTGTACTTTGTTGACTGCTTTTCTGATAGACTTGTGGTGATTTCGCCATATTATCATTGACGCCAATCCTTTAGCCTAGATACTCTTCGACGTACAGGGCCTCTCCTGCCTTCGATTTTTCCCTCAATAATGGGCTTGAGAAGCAGGTATTTGTCATTCCTGAGTATGTGTCCCAGGTACTCTAACTTTCGCTTTTTAAGTGTAAACATAACTTCAAGCTCTGTGACATTCTCGTTAGCACATCTTCAATGCGCAATTTATCTATCCGAAGAAGAAGAAGAAGAAGAATATTTTCAACATTCGTCTATATGTCCACCTTTCAGAAGCCTCTAGCTTTTCACACATAGCGTCTGTCAGAGTCCACGCCTCAATCCCATAATAGAGGTTACTGAAGACATATCAACGTAGAATTCAAGTGCGAACGGAGTGCGGAGAAACCTGACTACACAATACGGACTTTATTTTCACAAATGATGCACTGGCTTGTTCAATCCTGGCACAAACCTCCTGTATGTTATCTGTCTTCATTTACCTGACATCCTAGGTATTCGTATGATTGGACCCGATCTATCTGTTGGTTCTATACCTCAGGAATACCTCCTCCAACCTGGTTCTTACTAATCACCATCCATCAATTTTAATGCATATTCTCCCTTTTTAGTAGCCAAATGATCAAGTAATACTTGGAGACTTTCCAGAGAATCAGCGACTAAAACCATATCGTCGGCAAACCAAAGATTGTTAATATTCACGCCGTTGATAGAAATTCCCTCAGTGCAGTCTTCTGATGCTTTTCCAAATACTTTGTTCGAATAATTATTAAAAAGTAATAGTGAAAGGATGCAACCAGACAACTTTTTTTATCCGTACTTCGTCAGCCATTTGTAGGTCTACCTTGATTTGTGCAATCTGATTCCAGTAGAGATTTGCGATTATCTTGAGTTCTCTATCATCTAGTATCTATGCCTACATTCTTGAGAATTTTCATAAGCTTCTCATATTGTACCCTGTGAAACGCTTCCTCATAGTCTACGAAGAATGCGTATACAGGAACAGAAACATCTCTAGATCTTTGATCCAGTACTTGGATGCTAAACAGGGACTCTCTTGCACCAAAACTATTACGAAAACTAAATTGGAATTCACCCGTGAAGCACTTGCACTTTGTGTATATTCTTTTATGGATGATCTTTAGAAAAATTTTGAGAAAGTGGCTCATCAAGCTGAGATGATAATCGCTATATCTTTTTGCAGAGCTTTTTTTACGGAAGCGTCACAAATATTGAAATAAGCCAGTCAGAGGGAATGATGCCTGATTGGTAAACCATATTGAAAAGTTTCACCATTGTGTGTAGTGACTCTTCATTTGCTGGATTTCACTAAGTTGTGAGTAGACGCCGTCTGGACCTGCCACGTTCCCGTTTTTGTATAACTGAATGGCGTGTTGGACTTCTTCCTCAGTAGTTATATCTAGTCCTTCTCGTGAATACTCTTCAGGAATGTCCGATCTCTCGTCCTGAAACAGGCTTTTAATGTAGCTGCACCACTATTTTACTTTGTCGTTCACATCAAGAATTATCTTACCTTGACTGGCCAACAGAATGCCGGTTTGTCGGGGTTTGTATACACCAGCAGCTCCTTGTCATATTTTGCTTCCAAGTCTTCGATTTCCTCACACCACTCGTTTAGCCAATTTTCGTTAGCTATTCTGACTATGCTTTTTTATTTCACGATTCAACTGACGATATGCTGGCTGGGTCTTTCTGCAGGCGTCTTTCTTCCATCAAGTCGAGGAATTCATGAGTCATCCAAGCTTTTTGCCTGAACCTAGTGTTGTTTGAAATTCCAAGCTGACGTTAACAAAGGCTTTCCTGCCATACAGTCTCCACTTCTTATATTTTTGAAGATGTGAACATCTTGCCTTTAGGCCCTTAGTTTTGACCAGTGAATCAAGAACCAGTTAAAAGGAAAGTGTAGACTTTTGAGGGTTTCTGATTGAAAAATTTTCCAGTGAATCAAGAGCCGGTTATAAGTATTAAACTTTGTGTTGGTTGCCTTGAGAAAAACCATTTGGCAAATCAAAGACCTGAAGTTCAAATTTTGATTATTTCCGGCTCTTGATTAGTAAGATTACCTTTCTGGAAACAATCAGAGTCACTAGTAAAATTTTTATGAAATTTTCATTAATCCTTGTGCAAAGAGCATATTTTTGAAGATTTTAACATCTTCTCTGTAGGCCCTTAGTCTTGACCAGTGAATCAAGAACCAGTAAAAAGCAAAACGTAGACTTTTGAGTGTTTCTGATTGTTTGAAAATTTTTCTAGTGAATCAAGAGCCGGTAATATGTATTAAACTTTGTCTTGGTTCCTTGAGAAAAACCATCAAGCAAATCAAAGGCCTGAAGAAGTTCAAAGTTTGATTATTACCGGTAATTTCAATTAATCCTAGCAGAGAGCATGTTCTTGAAGATGTTAACATCTTGTATTTAGGCCTTTTTTTTGGTGGGGAAGTCGTCTGATTAAACTACGAGTAGCGCTGCAGCCGGAGGCATATTGTGATAAATCTTCCCATTTACAGCACCCATTCCAAAACCTTGGTTCCCTGCAGTAGGCAAAGTAGGTCTGTTGGATGTTTGCCGTATGTGTCTGGATCTAGTGTATCTTCTGCAAATATATTTTGTCTTCTGCCTTGTTAGTGCATCGCATTCTGATATAATATGTTGGGAAGTTTCAGTCTCTGTTCGGCATAGTCTGCAACTCGTGTTTCCGTTGTACAAGCCCATTGTTTGCAGGTGCCTCTTTACTGGGGCATGCCCAGTAAGAAAGTCGGTTGCTACTCTGAGTTGATTCCTGCTTAGTTGTAGCAGTTTTTTTGCCCTTTTGCCACTTGTCTCACGTATGAAGATTTTCCTATGTGCATGCTTGGGTATTTGCTTTCCAGTATGCAGCATGTTTTGCCTTGATCCATTCCTTCAGCTCCTTTTTTACTGTGCTTTTGGGCACTCCGAGAGCTGCATAGGGACCAACGTATTCTGTGGATGACCCCCTGCTTGCAATTTCGTCAGCCTTTCTTTGCCCGGAATACCTCTATGTCCTGGCACCCACATCAATGTGACGTTATTTTGGTCCGCCAAGTTGTTGAGTTCTTCTCGACATTCTATTACAAGTGCAGAGTTTGCTTTAGGGTTCTTCAATGTCCCCGGTGCTGCCCGACTGTCTGTGAGTAGAGTCAGTCTTCTATTTCTGCAGGCCCTCATATTGTTGATTCTTGCTAATTGTGGTATTGCATATAGCTCTGCCTACGTTTAATTTATTATCTAATTCGTTTGTAACTTCGGCCAGAGTTGTTAAGTTATTTGGTATTGTCAGATCCAGTCTCGGGCTGTTCGTTTTCTTCTTAGTGTCAACTGGATGTTCGCTAGAAGCGGATTGTGATCCGAATTTATATTATTATCTAAGTGTGCAACATATGGGATTTTTTTTAAATAATTTTAATAAAATTCAAACAAGGTCAAAAATTGATGCATGTCTGATAATCATATTAGGTGCACTTTGAATGATTGCAAGTCAAGCAGCATATAGGGTAGCTCAAAAAATATCAAAATAATTGTAGTACTATTTACTCAAACACAATAAAACTTTTGCACTTTAAGGAGAGTTTTTTTTAATAATCATAATATTATCATTAGTAATTTTTAAACTTGTTAAAAAAAAAAGATTGCGAAAGTTATGTTGAATAGCATTGCAACAAATATGAATTTTGTGAAAAATTGAAAATCTAAGTTAAATTTACAAATATGCTTAAATTTGGACAAAGTTATGTAAAATTGATTTGATTTTAATTAATTTTTCCATAAGAAGTGCGAGATGCTCTTTCTTTGGTATTTATTTGTAGTCATGCAATTCTGTTTCCAATGCTTCCTAGTTTTTTTTATTTGATGCAGTAGTTTTCGAGAATAGCATATTACATACCGAATAGGGAAGTGTTTCATTACTGTCGAGAGATTTATATAGTCAATCGAGACGCGAAGCGTCGAGATTGACTATTAATCTCGAGACAGAAATGGAAACTTTCCTCCGAGGTTTGTATACTATTTTATTTGCAAGCACACCATTAATTATGATTTGTCATTCAATTTTTTTAATATTAAAAAAATAAAACAAACATGCCAAAATATGTCATTCACCTGTTTTGACGTTTTTACCTGACATGTTCTCATTGTTGCTAGCAAAGGTAAATAAATTAGAGTGAGGGAAATCGGTGAGGGAAGTCGAATAGGGAAATCGGTGAGGGAAATCGAAGAAGGAAGTGACATAGGTAAAGTGTCACTTTCAAATTTTTAAAAAGTCAGTAATGTCGAGATTACATATATGGTTGCAAAAAAAATATATTAAATACCTATTATTGAATAACAATAAATCCACTTTTTACTGACATTTTTTAATGACATATTTGAGAAAATAGTAGTTTTTCTAATCAGTGCGCAGTTATCCGCTTTGCGTCGTTCGTCTAACTATTTTCGCGTGCGGGAAAACTACTTTGCGCATGTGTTAGGGACAATATTTTTTCTACGAGTGAAATAACTATACTTTTCCAAATTTTTAATTTTTATAGTCATCAAAAACACTTGTTATAACTAACTAGGTAGGTATATCTAAATTGGCCGAAATTGGCCGAATCGGCGGGGCTTCGCCCCCTAAAAAAAGGGGGTCCACGAGGCTTCACCCCCAAATATGGAGCTCCCGCTGGGCTACGCCCCCTAAAAAGGGGCCACCGCGGGACTGCGCCTACCAAAAATGGGGCTCCCGCGGGGCTCCGCCCCCCAAATAGAGAACTCTCGCAGGGCTGCCCCCCAAAATAAGGGGCCCCCGGATTTTAGTATGGGAACCAGAAAAAAAGTGTGCGGGAGAAAAAAAATTCCGCCCACTTTTGGGAAAAGGCGGTTACACACGGACGTGGATGTCTGGAAACATGTACGCACATACATGAACGCGCAAACAAAAACATCAATGTGTAAGGAAAATACCGTCGCGTTTTTGAATGTGTCATTTTGTATGCACACTCGGAATTCTGTAGCAAGAATAGCAAGACTGCAGTTTTGTGCGAACGTCTGTACAAAGGCGCCATGCACGTTGTTGTTTGCACGTTGATATATGCACGTGTATGTATTAAGCCATCCACGTCCGTGTGTAACCGCCCAAAGGGTTTCTTTGCGTACGCAAAAGTATGCGCAAAGTTTGCGCACACTCGTAGAAAAAACAGTTTTCTTTTTTCTGAGCACAGCTTTAGATTTTTGATATTGGTAACCTTACAAAGGGGAAATAATACAAAAAAAGTTACCTATCTACATTCAAAATTCTCTTATTTTCCTTATTGAATTTCTATTGTAAAAACTGTTCAAAATGTTTGTCTCCTAATTGCAGTAATAGAGACTTGCTCAAAATGGCTTCAGAAGTTCAGCAATGATCTGTGGACATAAATCCTTTAGAGATTCTGGTGGAGTTTTGCCGCATTGTGACGATTTTAATATTGAATTTTTTTCAAAGCGGGATGGACAGCGTCTAATTCTAATTGCAAATACATTTTCCCTATCAGATTTCCTGATAGGGAACAAGGACCGGCTACACATTCGCCATAAAGCCCAGCCTAGAAAATTTATTTCTCAGTAAGTTGACAATTTCCAGAACCGCTCTCAGAAAAACGAATAGGTGCTCATATAGGTGAAACAATAAACGTTGAAGAAGAAAATAGGATCATTCACTTTCCGAATAATTGTCGCAAAATTCCAAAGTCATTTAATTCTTGCACAAAATTGATTTTATGCAGGCGGAATTTATGAGCATTCAAAATTCTTCGAATACACGTACGGGATATGTTTATGACACTACGTTTTCATTAAGTGAATTGAAATCCTTTCATTTTCTTATTAGTTTTTATACACTCGTGATGTGCTTTTTCCATAATTTCCACTTTAAGTTTAACTTTGTTATCTCCGGAAAATTTAGAAAATATAATAAACACAATGAAAATATCGCATTCGTATTTTTGGCATTTTAAGCCAGAGAGAACATTGAGGCAGACTTTTCCACTGTTAATTAATTTGTTTTTTTATTGAAAATTTGACTTAACGAAAACCCAGAACATAAGTAGGTACTAAGTTGTCATTTAATTTTTCAAAGTTATGGGCACTGGCGTATCGCGGTGAAACCGGAAGTATTCTAATATTAACAGATTACCTACCTACTCCAAAAATAATTTTTCAATCCTACAATAGAAATTAACAATTGTCAGACCGAAAGTGATCCACCAAACCCCCGGTTGATTCAGGATGTTTTGTTGCCAGATACAGAATTTCGAAACTTGGTCCTCGGCGGAATAATTTTAAAATACCATGAACAAACAATTATTTACAACAAAAATTCTTCCTCATTGACTCAAGACGTGCTTTTTTATATCATTAATTCAAGAATAAATTCAGTTATAATTAATTCACGATCTCATCAATTTATCTTAATTACAAAATGAATGTAAAATTATGTAAAATTCAGCTCAAAGTCCGTGCATTCATTTTTAGATCTTGATGATTCAATAGATTTGTCTTCAGTCAGGTTCAAGGTTTACCTTTTGCCGTTATTCCTATAAAAATGGGAGGATATTATATTTTAGCATCATTCAAAACTAAATAACTACGCTAGAAAAATAGGTTGTTGAGCACTTCAAGTTCAGGTCGTTGATTATTTAATTTAATAAAAAAATAAATAAAATGAAACAATTCATTGTTACTGTTGTGATCGTTGCATTGGCTGTACTTGTTCATGTGAGTAATATTATCTATTCTATTAAAGACTTACTGACTACGTTTATTTCACACGTTGTATCTGAATACTAAGTGGATTAAGGATTATTAATCCATATTCGTTTATTTCGCAACTATTGGATGGATTAAGCTTAGTGTTAATCCTTTCTTAACCCTTGTTTGTGTCTAACTTCATCAAAGGCAACAATGATCAAAAATAGTTTTAATTACCAATTAAAAGGTGAATATTTTCTTTTCTCACACCAGTACTCCGATCCGGATTATTTCTCTAATCCTAGGTGTTTATTTCAGAATTATTAATCCCCATTATTAATCCAATCCACTTAGTATCTGAATACAACGCATGAAATGAACATAGTCATTATCTGTTTGTTTCTGGTAGGTTAAGATTGTACGTTTTCAAATAAAAGATTGGACCTGAGATGAGGAACTTAAGAAAAAAAAAATGACACCAAAGCAAACCAGCAGCAAACCCAAAATAATGGTTACTTATTATACAACGATCAATTAGACTATTAAAATCGCACCCGATAGATTTAATTGCTAAATTTAAGTAAATATACCCAATTAAATTTTGTTCAATAATTACCATCAATAAGATAATAATTATTATTTCAAATTAACATGAAAACTAATTTCAAATTATGAATAAGTACGTACTTCATAAATTAATTTTATTTTTTTTCCTCAGTTTTGTAATGAGATTTAATTTATTTATTTTTTATCCAGCAAATCATTTAATTATTATTCTTCGCCCACTACCTACATCAAGTGCTTTGTGCATCTACTTATTTTCAAGGTTGAAATTGAATTTGATGCATCTTGCATGAGATATATTATTTCAAGACAAGGGGATAGAAAAAGGCATTATTATTGAAGAAATTATTTTTAAAAATGTAGATCCATATTCAGACTATAAAAATTATTCATCCAAGGAATGATATAAGTTTTTTTTTAATTGATAATTAAATTTTCAGGCCGACCTAACCGACGAGCAAAAGGCAAAAATCGTAGCCAATGGCAAACTATGCGTAGGTGAAACTGGCGTCGATACTGAATTGATCAAGCAAGCCCGTAATGGAAAATTTGTCGACGATGAAAAGCTGAAATCTTTTACTTTCTGCATGTCCAAAAAACACGGTTTCCAAAATGATGCTGGTGAAATTCAAACTGAAGTTGTTAGAGAGAAGATGACTCAGGTTCTCGGCGATGCGGATGTTGTTAATAAACTCATTGAAACTTGTTTGGTCCCCAAAGAATCTAACGAGGCAACGGCTTTTGAAACTTTCAAGTGCTACTATGAAAATACTCCCACCCATGTATCGATTCTGTAAATTTATTTAAAACGTTATTATGCTTACATGTTTTTATTATTGATAAAATGAAGGCCTGCTTTTTACCTTACCTACTAGTTGTTTTCTTGTCCTTCACCCAAAATTTCAGTAATTACTAAGTTGACAATTTTCTGTAATTAAACTTTTAAATTAAAAGTTGTTCTATTTTTGATTTGGTTAATATGTACAAATTAAGGATCCAAATAAGTCATCATCACTCGCTAACGAGTATGATAACTCTTTTTGCAGCATTGATAGTGAGTTCTTTGATCGGTAGATAAGCCTATTTTGGACCCAAAAGTTCTCCTACATTGATTGCGCACCCAGCGTTAGCAAGTCGTTGTAGTGAAGCAGATCTAATTAAATGTTAAATGTTCTTGTTCTTTCCTACTCAATCATATGCAAATTCTGCGAGCCTTAATTGATATTAAGTTCCCATACGAATCTATCCAAGTTCGTCATGTCCCAGCTGCCATAATCGATCTGACATGTTGTTTGTCTTCAGGACATTTTTGTATCGTTCAAATTGCCCCCTGTGGCGGCGTTGGCCATTTTATAGTTGATTAAATTTTTAAACAAAACATACGCGAATATGCGAACGAAATGACCTATACCCACCGAAGCTGTGAGCTGATGCTGAATGCTAAGTATTTTTCTTAGGCAGCGATGATGTTATATTTCCAAGCACCTCAGTTAGAGTTGTTAGGTGCTCCAGCTTTTACATTCGTAGACGAATACAGGAATGCTAATTGTATAATAATCTTGTTTTATTTGCAGAGTTTCCTCTAGATATGATTAATTTCCAGTCCTCCTACGGAGTCGTGCGGTGTAGTTTATATAAGTTGTGTAGTTCCAAGCATCTCATATTATGTTTTTTTCAATTATTTTTTGAGCTTTTTCTCCTTTTAGCTCCTATGATATATTCTTTTAAGGTTTAATTCTTTATTCCTAATATTTTTCTGTTGTTTTTCTCCTCGTTTTACTAGTGTTTTTTTTTTTTAATTTTTTCATTTATTAGGTTGTTTCTGGAGAGATATCGCGTCTCTCTTTTTTCGTGTATGTGGTACTTCTTATCCCAATTTCATTCGTTTCAGAAAGACCTTTGGTAATTTCACGATTTACTAATTTTCCAAAAAAAAAAATAGCATGCACACAAATCGAAACGTGGGCGATTTTTCGAATTAGAGGAATCTGTTTTATTTTCTCCTCCACCATTAAACCTATAACCTACCTATATTTCAAGTTGTAGTGAAGATTTGGATCTTCTACGCTCTATATAGTGTTTCTTCTATTGAACCACCCTCTGAATGTCTGTTTTATTTTCTCCTTCACCTTAAAACCTATAATCTACCTATATTTTAAGTTGTTGTGGGGATTTGAATCTTCTACGCTCTGTATAGTGTTTCTTCCATTGAACCACCCTCTGAATGTATGAATTGGCAAGAAAACGGATGTGCAGGATACAAAACAAGCATTTTTGAGTCTGGCTAAAATTTTCGGATGGGTTCACAAGATCAATGAGTAATACAAGTACACTTATTTTCCCAGTCATAAATATTTCACATTTACTACACAGAACATAAAGTATGTGAATTATCTCAGATAGTGGAAAGTGAGTCTGGCCGAAAATTTTCGGATCTCCAATTTTTCACTTGCCAGACGTATAATCCATACTCACAGATTAGCCGGACTATTTTTTTACGTAACTTCAGTATACCTGTCATTAATAGAGCTATTTTTATCACTGAAAAAAAAAGACCGTGCATTCGTAAGCTATGACGCACTTCGCGCATCAGCCCCTAGACTAGTAGGTAAATCGACAATAACAAGATTAGCTTCTGCAGCAGGAATTTCAGGGCGTGATAACATATCAGCAACAACATTATCTTTTCAAGAATTATATTCAATACATAAATCAAAAGATTACAAAGCTAAAGACCATCTTGCTAATCTGCCCGGAAGAGATTTGAGTGTCATGAGCCATTTCAAGGGCTGGTGATCACTTTTGACGAGAACATTAGCACATTCTAAATATCCTGTAAATTTGTCAGTCACAGACCAAACGACTGCTAGGGCTTCTCGCTCTGTTGTACTGTAATTTTGCTCAGCTGATGTTAATAAGCGACTAGCGTATTCTATAGGTCTTTCTTCTGACCCCTCTCCCTGGAGTCAACATGCGCAAATAGCATAGATAGAGGCCTCAGTCTTGAGAATATATGGTTTATTAGGGTCAGCTTGTTGAAGAAAAAAGCCTTGAGTTTTTTATAAAACGTCGAAACTAAGAACAAGTTTGTAGGAAAGAAAGTAGTTCTTTGACATTTCGAGGATTTGGTATTTTAGAAATAGTAAAAACTTTATCTGGGTTTGGAGTAATACCAGAAGAAGTTATTACATAACCGAGGTAATTGTCAGAAGAACAAGAAAATTTGCATTTCAAACGGTTCAACTGAAGTTTGAATAATTTCAAGCGATCAAAAACTTTTTGTAAATTACTAACATGAAGTTGAAATGAGTTTGATGAAATAATTATATCATCGAGATACGCTAATATGTTAATATATCTTGAAGTCCAGAACGAAATCTATTAACAGGTTGACTGCCGACCACTTCGATCGGAGTTTACTTTCACCAATTGGCGACGCCAACTACTCCGATCGGAGTTTTGTGCATGCTCAATTTGTGAGTTTCTATTCAGTAGGCGTTGGTGAGAGAATGTCGCAGCCGCTCCGGCGTCCTTCTAAATGCATTTGTCCAGCACGTGTTTTAGTTGGTTACGCGTTTTTTATTTTTTGTGTCGCTAAACATGGATACCAAACAAAACGAATAGAACTTGACGGCGTCCCAGAATGCCTCAAAAATCTGGTCGGCAGTCAACGTACGTGTCAATTAATCTTTGAAATGTAGACGGAGCATTTCGTAATCCAAATGGCATCCTTGTATATCTGAAAATTCCAAAAGGACAAATGACACCAGTTTCGTCTCGATCAGATGGTTTGACTGATATTGGATGATAACCAGATCTTAAATCCAAAGTTGTCATAAAACAAGTTTTCTTTGCAGCATGTAGCATTAATACGAGGCAAGAGGTATCTGTCGGCTATTGTTTTCACATCAACTTGCGGTAATCAACAATCAAGCTAATGCCACCATCTTTCTTTGGAACAAGAATCACAGGAGCAGCATAGGAAGACTCGCACTCTTCTATAGTTCCATCGGCTAAGAGTTTATCAATATCTTCTCGCAATTGCTCTTTTCTTATTTCAGATATGTAATACGGAGGAACAGAAATTGGATTTCTATCTATGAGATTAATAGAAAGCTCTGCAAAAGGAGTAGGGTGACTATTAGACTTAGAAATATGTAAATTATATTGAGGTAATTTTTGAAGAACACCCTTTTGTTCAGGGGCAAGTTTCTGTCCTCCATCAGTTCTTAAAAAAAATCTTGTGAGATTTTGGTCGCATCGGAGGTTTCTAGATTATTAATAGCGACATTATCAGAAATAATAGTAGATTATACCACGAGTCAATAATGATAGCTATTATTCCCGAGGATTATTACGAACTGAGCCGCGTTAGCGGCGAGGGAGTAACATTCCGAGGGAATAATAGCCATTATTGCGAGTAGTATACTCTACTTTATTTACGACAAATTAATTTATTTGAGATTTTCAATGAACAAATTTCATCCGTCTCATAATTTTCAATACAAATCCACAAGCACTACACGTTTGACACTGACACTTTTGTGGAATAATGACCATTAATCCCGCTACTCGTCATTAATCCCTGGAGGAATAACATATGTCATTATACTGCCCAAATCACAAATATAATACGCACATTATACATTAGTCGTAAATAAAGGAATATTTAATGTCAGGAGAATCACCATAAAACCAGGAATCATTGGACATATCCAACACTATATTGGCTAGTTTCAAAAAATCTGTGCCAAGAAGTGTTCTGCTGTTATGATGTTCTGGAATAGAAATGAGAGAAACATAATGAATTCTATCTCGAAGCATCATTTCAACATCAAAGAAATAGGCTTCAACTTGGGTACTTTCACCATCAGCAAGAGTCACTTTTAGTTTTTAGTTCTTTCTTTATATAAGGTATATCATCTTCAAGAAGAATTTTACTCAATTTAGCACCAACAATACTTGATTGTGTACCAGAATCAAGATAATAGGCCGTGATAATCTTGTATAGTTCGATAGAAGATTCATGGGAACTTTTTTTTAGTTTCAGACTGAGAATTTTTGTAAGCTAACTTTCTACAATTTTCTCTAACATTAGCAAAATTTTTATAATATACACACTAAACTTCCTAATTATGTGATAATTCTGTAATGGGATCGTTGAATTGAATATTTTGCCTAGTTTTTGCATTAGCGATATTATCAAATCCTGTTTGTTCGACAACTCTTGCTGTTTCTATGAGTTCATTGAAAGTTTTAATTTGATCTCGTTGAACTTTATCTTTAATGCGTATATTTAAAAGTCCATCTACCATATGTAGCTGTGCATGCTCAGAAATAGCCGAATCTCCTTTTAAATATGATAGAAGAGCTCTACATTTACTAACCAAAATATCAGTATTTTCATGAAAAAAGTGTTCTCTATAAATCTGATGCCTAGGTTTGAAATATTCGAAAGCATAATGCAAAGTATCAATAGCTTCATCAAATGTATCTATTGAAGATTTTATGCCTTGCCACCATGTAGCAGCGGAATCAATTAAAAGCATGAATAGCCCTTTCATTGCGTGAGCATCTTCAATATTTAAGCAGTCTTTGTAGACAGTGATAGCATCAATAAACGCTTAGATATCGGTATGACCATCAAAACGTGACTTGCAAGATGAATTTGCTTTACTTACGTTTTATACAGGAGGTGTTACCAGCTGATTACCAACATTGACACTTTGTATACCAGCTGACAAGGTTTCAAGCATTTCAGCTGTCATCACAATTGACCTTTTCAATTTGAAAGCCTCTCTCTCTGGCATCAAACTGTCAGGCGCCAAAAGAGCATGAAAACAATAGTTGACAGTTGACAGCAGTTGACAGTGGTTTGTAGACAAGACTTTCGAAAGAAACTATCATTTCCTCGGTTTTTTTAAGGTTTTTTCGTGGTTTTTTCCTAACAATGGTGATTGTGTG